CTAAAGCCAAGTTCCGAGACCAGGCGATTCGCCTGTTTACCCTCATTTCAAGCATTAAAGCTACTGAAACGCCTTTGTAAAGCGCTTTTCTAGCCTTTTTTTGCAAATTGACATGACCTATTATTTTTTTTTGTGACATGACAGTAAAAAATAAAGTTTCAAAATTGCAGTACAGTTGGAGGAGCTAGTATGTTGTGTGTCAAGGAGGTTAAAGTGTTGTTTTTGCTTTTTAAACAAAATGTCTTAAATGATTCTTAAGACAACTTTTTATAAAACTACATGAACGATTAAAATTCATCTAAATGTTTTATACACCGGCTGGTGTCTGGACAGAGTATCCCTTTCGTTCCCTTAAAAAAGTAGGTGTCACGAAATGATTTATTTCCATGGGCGTTTGACAAGGATCCACAAAAAGTTTAATCCCTCAGATTAAAGATGCAAAAATCAAAAGCGATGCATGTAAATAGAATGTGAACTGCTGTATGCATAGAAAACAGAATAGCGATGAGGATATAATAACTAGTTTTGCAATGAATGGAGCATAATTAATATTTAATTAATTAATAACTAATATTCTATAAGATATTAAAGGTACTGTAGTCAAGCGCAAAGAGTGCTTGTGGTACGAGAGGGTGTCTATGACTATGAACTAGTGGAAACAGCGTGCGACAGGTATTTAGGAGCTTTATATTAACTCATAATTGTCATCTCTAAGACAGAGATGCAACTTAATTTAGATGAATTTAAAAAGACATCAAAATTCCATATCGTATCATACAGTGCACACGGGTTATACAGTGAAAAGTGTTGGGGTACCACCGTCAATGAGTGACGTTCAATAATCACAGAGGGCATTGACTAACAGACACCAACATTTTAATAATTGTTACAGCTTAATCCAAACTCAAAATACAGGAATTCTGAAACAGTTTCTGACACAAAGCTGAGTCTAATTTCTAACCTTTTACTCTTCGTGAAACCCTGGGGGTGAATAAAGCATTTTGAATTCATTTTAACTGAAAACAAATCCTAAATATTCAATTAAAGTCTCAATAAGGTTACCTCATCAGTACTTCAGTACAAAGACGACGATGGTTATCCGACGGTTATAGTAAGCAGGCATAAGTCTTGCTGTCAAGTCATCTTAAATGTATTCCATTCGATGATCAACCTGTGTAAAGCCGTGTCATTTCTACTTGTCACAGAAACGGCGACAACAGTCCACGTTTAACGCAGCAGTGTTCACTAACAAACAAGATGTTCTACTGGATAAATAGAAAACACGTGCTCCTTTACTTTTTTTTTCCAAAACGAGGAGTGTGACGATATGCTTCTGTTGCTAAAGTCAATGCTTCTACTACTTGTACAGTGGTACAATATTATCGACGATATAAGACATTAATACAGTACATAATGTTCACAAATTAACAATCGCGTTTTAACGCAATTATCTCGGATAAACAATATTGTTCGCGTTTAAAACCAATGCTGTCTCCTTTAATTACGGAAGCGTATCATCACCTCAGAGAAAAAATACGTTTTGCATGTAAACGCAATGAATATTTCTTATTTGGTGGCGTTAATAAGCTTCTGTAGATAGTCGTAATAAAAATATGTATAAATTATGTCATTATTAGATGACATCTGAAGCCATGGTACGCACATGTAAAATGGTAAAGTGATGCTCCTATCAGGAGTTTAGGACCATGCACAGGTACACATACAGAGTAGGAAGATTACTGTAGAGTTGTCAAAAGTATGCAGTCCTAGAAAACAGTCTATTGAAAACTGGTGCATCAAGTGTCCATTTCTGTGACTTCAAGGGCTTTTCTCCAGGGACACACAGAGACATCATGAGTTTCATTCACTTTTCCTTCCAACTTCATGGACAATTCTCCAGGAAACCTTACACATTGTTACCAATATGTTAACCTCAGAGCTGAAAACTATATGTCGGCTATTGAAAATCAGATTCGTGATTTACAGAATGGGCAATTCAGGGGCACTTCAACCTTTGTAGCAGTCATTCACGCATGGCATGTCGTCTACAACATCATATGCACTGTCTTCTTCCTCATTCCAGGTCTGACGTTTATGAAGGCAAAACAGATCTGTCCTGCGATGGCATGTATGATAATCACGTGTCTGTACCCATCCAGAACTCTCTCAGCTGTTTCTGCCAGAGCTTCTGCGCCTCTGAGGGATTTCAGGAACCAGTATCTCATTGCATCTTTGGATTCCACAAAGGTCCAGGACAGTGTTCAAAACATAGTTCACTGGAGGGGTGCATGGACCAGAGGAAAGAACCTGGGTGCCTGCTAGAGAGCTACATGCTCCTCACCTAATGCTCTCTTTCCATTCCTGATGCCCTTTCAAGCCCTGGTGCTCATAGGTCACTCCTTAAGGGAGAGGTACCGTAATACTCACTCCCGCTTGATCACTGGAAGACTCTCCCGAGGAACAAGGTAACTGCGAATCAACTACCATGACACTGTGATCTGGTAGAAAATCAGACCTACCTGTCAGATATTAAGTATTACTCACCTCAGTCCCTCAGGATATTTAAGACCTGGTTTCCCACCCCTTGATCGCTCAGCCTTAGAGAGTCCTATCTCTGGCCTCGGTGTTCGTTTCCGTTGCTTCACTGTGCTTCACTTCTCCCTTCTCAGTTTCAGACTGTGCCTGTGTGTCCGACGACACCTTTGGATTTTCCCTGCGCTCTCTTTGGCTTCACCTGGGTTTGAACTGCGCTTGTGTTTTTTTGGTTATGTCTCAGGATTCCTTCTGGGCTTACTTGTCTCGAACTGGCTACGAACTCTGCTTGCCCCCAACTATGGTTTGGATTGTGCATTCAGTCTGTATGCCAATATTTGGAATGATTAACTGGATACTCAGGCAAGCTTACGTAGTCAGTATAAAATCATTCCACGTGAAGATGGTAATAGTTAAAAGCTGACCTAAACTTCTGAATTGCAGCTCTCCAGGAATAGAGAAATCTTCCCAAAGCATAGCCTCAGAATCATACAATACCCAGGGCTGCAGTTAATGATTGTGAGGACATGAGCTCTGCATCCTCTTCATCTGTACCACAGAAAATATCTGTACGCCATTTCTGTACACTGTTTAAATCAAACTTAATTCATCAAGATTTTCTGTTATACATCCATTCACTGTCTAACTGCTTCCTGAAATCCAGGGTTGCCTGAGATCTGGCATCTATCCTGACAAGCAAGGGGCCCATAGCAAGGTACAGCCTGGACAGGATACTAGTCCCTTACAGGGCAGACACACAGACACAGACATGCACGCATCTGTAATACTGTCAAAGAAAATATTCTGTGAGTATTTTGTTGTGTATCAGTCATCAGAAAGCCACATATCACTGGTGAGGGTTGCAATCACCTGGTAAAAAAAACACTAGGATTGTATCAATGACCCAAGAGCTGTGAGGCAGCAACATAACTGCCTCTTCCCAGTGTCCTTTGCATTTTATTATACCCAATTATAAATACTGTACCATAAAAGCAAAATGCTAATAAAACTAAACCTACAATACAGTGTAAATTCTGATATCAAATGAGTAGACACAACCACAGAGAACAGTCAGTTGAAAACATGACCAGCTGGTCCCTCCAGTGTTTATTTCTGTGCCAGGAAGGGGCTTTCTTCAGGGACGCACAGAGCATCGTAAGTTGCCTGTAGTTTTCCTTCCAAGGTCAGAGACACTTCTCCAGGCAACCTTACAAATTATTACCCATATGTTAACCTCACAGTTTAAAACAGTTTAATGTGTGCTATTTATAATTGGATCAATAACTTATAAATAGACAAAAGCACCTTTCAATTCAAGGGCACTTCAATGTTTGCAGCGCTTATTAATGCAAGGACTATGTTAAGCACATTATAATGTTTCAAATAAAGCACAAGCACATCAGTACTGTTGGCCACAATATCTTATGCAGTATCTTCTTCCTCATTCCAGGTCTTAAGCTAATGAAAACATACAGTATCTGTCTGTCCTGAAATCTATCGCCAATCAGCTGAACAGGCCAACTGTGGTAGATGGTGGTTCCTGGTTTTAATACTGTCACCTGATCATCTGTCATTTTCCAAGTGGCAATTTCCTACATGCAGTAGACACATCCTAACAGTATAATATGGTTTGGACAGGAATCTCCTACTTGTTTGGTTTACAGTTGTTACAATTTATAGACAAAGCTGGGCAAATGACTCACTTTAAGGCAAATAAGCCAAAGATTCAGACCACATGTATTCACTGGCACTTTATAGATAGATAGTAAATATCTACTATACTGAGTTGGAAAATTCCTTCAAGGTCTATTTGAATAAAATAGTTCAAACAGGAAGAAGAGTACAAATCAATACGCGTGGCTCGAGCACAGGCTTCTCTGAGCATACGATGAAGCAATTGCATTGTGTGGGTTTAACTAAGAGTCTCATAGACATTTGAACATAAGAGCTGGTGTTCTACCTCAATCTCAGAATACAGAGGTTTTGCCCTACCCCCATCTCAGAGCACACAGCTGGTGAGGCTGTGGGTTCAGAGAGATCCGCATAGTTGGAGTGAGGTCCAGTTCAGACTCCTGCACTCCTGGAGGGGGAGAGAAGGTGAACTTCTGCAACAGCGAGGTGAAGAACAGGAACAGCTCCATCCTGGCCAGGCTCTCTCCGAGACAAGCCCTGCGTCCTGGGACAGCAAACACCACAGGTTAGCCCTCCTGTAAGATCCTGTACTGCAGCATTGGGTGTCACTGATTTTGGGCTGCATTGCTCACCCACCACGTCACTTGAAACATCCTCACAAGACCTAAACCTTCTATTTAAATGTTTAGACCATATGTTATTAACTCTGTTAAATGTGTCATTCATATTAGATGCAAAATAAAATATAATTGGTGACTTTTGCAAATGACCTGCACACTGCAGTCCCGTACCTGCAGAAAACGCCATGAAGGCGTCCTTCTTCACAAACTGGCCCTCAGGGTCCAGGAAGTGAGCAGGGTTGAACTGATGAGGCGTCTTCCACTGGGTCTCATCCTGGAGCACTGAGGTCAGCAGAGGAAAGACAGGGGTCCCCTGAAGTGAGCCAATGACAAGCAGAAGTTTGCTCGCCTTTCATTCATAAGAATGTCATATTCTCACTTCCAATCCAGAAGGAATTCTGGATCTGCTGAGTTTCACTCTTCCAAAGGTAAAAAAAATATTTAAACTATGATTTTTCTCACTATGACCTTTACCATTGATGACCTCTCCCAGAAATTTGGCAACTTCTATTTATGGAATTATACAGAGTTAATCAAAATATCTGGTTTAGAACCATCAATCCCATCCTTATATACCATTTTAGATCAGGTCTCACTACTTCACTAAAGCTTTGTATTTTACCCACTTATTTCACATGGTATCCCAAATAAGAATTTCTGTCAATTCTGTTATTTTCTACTGAAGACTATGGAGCTGGCACTACCGATCCCAACATGCACCTGATCAGCAGTATGAGACAGAGAGCCGTCTACATGCCTTTTTGATTAAGTAGCCCTGGAAGTGAACATCTGCCGCTGTCATGTGAGGAAGGTTCAGTGGAACGACATTTGCCAGGCGCTGGATTTCATGTATCACAGCATCGGTGTAGGGCATGCTTCTCCGATGTTCAGCCCTCGGTTGCTTTGTGCCAACGACCTTCTCAATTTCCTCCTGAACCTTTTCTGTGTGGGATAAGACAGATAAACATTGCTGTCCAATACATTACTGTACAACTCCAGGCCCTGGGGGTGTATCCTTTTTGTCTGCTCTTGATCCCCACATTGAGCTCACTATTAGACCTAGAAAACATGCAGGGAGTCCTGCACATCCTCTAGGATGCATGAATGTGGAATTTGCATGTCCTCTTGCTGCTCTAGTTCCTCTCAAAGACCTGCTATTTAAGCTAGTTGGTGTCTTGAAACTGCTCCTGTATTTGTGGGCCCTGTGATGGCTCGGCACTCCAACCCAGTGATAGCCCTGCTGTTCTTTTAAAAAAAAATCTTATTGTTTAACAATGTTTAAAGCTTGCCTGAGAATCCAGCATATTGGGAGAGTCAGCAGTGGGAGCTCTTACTTTGGATGTGGGGATATTTAGCCATCAGCAGCAGCCCCCAGCAGAGTGTGGTGCCTGTTGTTTCAGTCCCAGCAGCAAGTAGGGCTACAATTGTGTTTATCAGATTATCCTTATGGAAATGGGAATCTTTCTGTCCTGAAACCTGAATTAAAATAAAGAAATTGTTTCATGAGGATGGTGATTTATAACTCAGCTATCAGTATTGTAGCAGTGATATATGTATTATTATTTGTTGTGTAACTTGACTGAGCTCTGCTGTGACGCCTTCTTTAGCTGTGTTAAGGGTTAACACCTGATACAGGGTTTATTGGCAGGCGGTGAAATCTGAGGCATCATCAGTCATGTTAAGACCTGTAATACAGACAACATACTGTAGGACAGAACCCTGTGGGAATCAAGAGAAAAACAGATCTCTTCAGTTTTGCATGACATACTGTGAATTTAATAAGCAACTTTCATTAGTGTAGAAATAGAAGACAAATGTTTTGCTTACAGGAGAGATGCCGTTATCCCAGTGTTCATGAACACATTTTGCTTTTGACCTTCTCTGTTGTGTTCAGTATATTAAGTCTCGAGAATATTGACATCTTATACAGGATTAAAAGTATCCTCGGACCTTATTTGGATTTTTAAACAATTTATATCTTCAGGTATTCTAAACATTTTTAACAAAAATAAAACCACAAATGTGGTAGGGCCTGGATTTCCAGAGCAGGCCACTTTTAAGCATAAAATTCCTTAAATTACCTGGGACTTCGAACACGCTGGAACCCTGGAATCATAATTGATAAGTGACACAAACCTGGCTCATTAAACCAAACTATTCTCTTCCTAAATTTAGGTCAAATGAAATATCAATTTGACTTTTCATTCTCTAGTTACAGAGGAAATCTGACCTGCATTTACTAACCAGTCTCTGGAAAGACAGACGTCCACAGAAACGGATCCCCTCTGTTCTCTTACCTTCTGTTGTTTGATCAAAAATGCATCAATAAATCCCCTCTTATCGTTCTCTTGTAAGGTCTGCTGCAGCTGCCTCACAAGTTGGTTTATCTCGGCCATCATACTCGCAATCTTCCTCATGAACACCCTTCTAGATTTCAGTAAAACCCCAGTGAGAGGGAAGACATTGTAGATCTGTGTGGAAAAGAAGAAACACATCACTGATACAACACTTCTTCCAGTTAATCATGAACTTAGCGAAATTGTGTGATGTTTGCTGGGTTATTTTGGTAGATTATTAATGGAATGTTTTTATTATATGAAGATATAAGTATGTGAAGATAAGTATGTTACAACTTTTGTTCCTTTACATTAGGACAGCACAAGATGCAGCTCTTCCAATATATTCGTACATTAATTCATTACTTTATTATCATCACTATCAAAACAATATCAGAAATGCTTCCATATAAAGTAAATATTACCTAAATAATACCTACATAAAATAAAACTGCTTTTTGCACAGGACTAGTTACCTAGTTGTTTAGTTGTAGGACTAGTTGTTTTGATCTTCATTTTCAATATACTACTCACTTATTACAGGACGAATTAAACTGTGGAATTACTTTTCATCTTGCTAGGATGCAGTGCATAAGTAAGAGTTTGCACGATAACCTAAATATAACATGCTAACATTTAACAGAAACATTTAACTTGCTGCTTATTACAATGGATAGAACAGGAACTATACAGTTTTATTGTAAATCTGATGTTAAATTAGCTTCTGTCCTAATGATTTATTTTGAACCAGGTTAATAATCTTGGTTACCTGGAGAACAGGGGATCTGGTGAGTTTGAAATTGTGAATAGACTTGCTCACCATACTGTGGAAGACAGGATCAGCATAATCAAACCTGTCTCCATACACTAAGGTGGCTAAAATGTTGGAAACAGCACAGTATACAGGTTCCTTGGTTTCAAATGGTTTACCTGCCAAAGGAAAGAATACAGTATCAGTCTGGAAGAATTCCTGCAGTTGTGTCTCTTTGTACCACCACCCTTGTGTGCTCCCAGTTTCACCTCTCGAACCCCAGTTCACCAGTGCCCACTAGAGCCCAATTCCACTTCTCCCTTCCGGGCTCCTGGAGGGAAGAATGTCTCAGCCTTCCATTAAACTGAAACACAAGATTTTGTCTCTAGACTCCAAAAGCAACAATCTTAAAAGAATCTGAGAGAAAAAAACCTGGAAAACACATGACAGAAAAATAAAAAAAAAACACTTCATTCCTTCTACCTCCATGTGCTTCAAACACCTCAGTGAGGTACTGGATTTCCTCGATGATCTTTTCCTCACCCTTTCCTTCCCATTCCAAAGTCCCGCAGATTAGACAGAGCAAACCTCCTCATCTCCTTCCACGAGTCCCCATTTGCAAAAACTATACCTGCATTCGAGACAAACACGGATGGGAAGAGTCAGACAGATGACGAGATCTACAAAGTGATAACACTGAGTATTGTCTCTACAGTGGAGATACTATCCAAAAAGACCTGAAAGAGGGAGTTGAACAAAGCAAAAGTTTCAACTTAAACTTAAAAAATTGCTAATAAAAGTTGTAGAGACTGAAAAGCATGTATTTGGGGCACTATGAATATACTTTGGATTTTATTTCAAATAAGGTACAGTAAGTTCAAATTTGTATTTGAATTATAAACAAATCATCCTGTGCTTCAGGAGGATCATATTTACCGTGTCCTTGACTGATATCGTGAAATATCGGTGTGGTGAGTCTGCTCCCAAACTCCTCAGGGTAGTCAACAAGCGCCTCCTTCACTGTCTTGTAACCAGCCAGGACCACTACTCTCATGGGGCCGAGGTGCACAGTGAAGACACAGCCATACGTCTTAGACAACTGGGGCACAGAGAGAGAGAAAGAATTGCACAGCAACATTCAGCAGTTTAACTATAATTGATAATGTACACAATATCAAATTTATTCATGTTTATCAATATATAATTAATTAACAATTTCTAGTTTAAAATTCAGGTGTGTTGCACTCCACTCCACATGACTACTACATGACTACAGTCACAAAACTATTTTGAAAAGCTTGAGAATCGTACAGCTTCTACACAAGAGACTCAAACCTCTAGAACAGGCAATGAAAAATTAATTCCCAAAGAGTTCAAAGGACAGAGCTGACTATAAAACGTACAAAAAAATAACATCCACTCCATCGATGACTCTAATGGCAATAATAGCAACCTAATGGAAGTTATTAACTGAAGTTAAGAGGGATAATAAAGACAGAGAAAGATTTGCACAGCAACACTCACCATTTTAATTACAATCAATACCGTATAAAATAAAAAAATCATTAATTCATTCATAATGGACGTTATTAACTGAAATATAGGAAGGACAACAATGACAAATCAATCTCACACAGTTTCTAATCACCAACTGTCTCTATACAGTATATCGAACACAAACACTTTCCTTTGCTTTTGTCTCAAGCTTCCCATCTCCTTGAAGCCACCCTGGGTTAACTCCTCTCTGAATGGGGTTCGAGCCTTCTAGTCCTGTGGCCAGGAGGCTACCTATTAACCATATGGTTTAAGCCAAACCTATCTTGCAAAATATTCCAAACATTCATCAAGTATTTACTGTAATTCTTGTTGTTATCCCTAGTGAAATATTAATACATCTTACCTCCACAAGAGACAGGTCTAGTCTCTTAAGATCCAGCGAGAGCAGGTTTCCTAGGAGCGGCAGGGCTGGGGGACCCGGAGGTGTCTTGACAGACTCAGGTGTCGACACCATGAAGATATAAACTACAGAAATCACTATCACAGCAGCCAGAAGCAGCCTCCCAGAGGAGACTTGCAGGAAAGCTTCTGGAAGAAACATAGTGACACCTTGGACACCTTGTGACACCTTGGAATATTTGAAAAACAGCAGGATATAATAAAGCACCACAGAACTAACCAAGTACTAAGAGCAGAGTAAGTGCCTTTCAGTCTTCTGCATGTTACTGGTTTACAAGATGATGCCCTGCCCTTTTCTTCTGCCGTTTCGCATTTGCTGGTCCAACTGGAATGAAATGCAGGTATGCCAAATATGAGACCCAGATAACGCCCTTTTCCCAATAAAATTATGTATTTTTTATGAAATGTTTTCAAACAGAGTATCCCTTTAGTTCCTTTATAAAAGTTGGTGTCACAAAATGATTTCCTCCCATGGGCGTTTGACAAGGATCCACAAAACATTTAATCCCTCAGATTAAAGATGCAAAAATCAAAAGCGACGCATGTAAATAGAATGTGACCTGCTGTATGCCTAGAAAACAGTATAGCGATGAGGATGGAAAATGTCGATGGTATGGACATATCATGAGGAGGGATGTTGAGGAAGTAACAAAGAGGGTAATGGAATTTGAGGTGGAA